AAAAAAAGGTGGACTCTCTTCTTGTGAATGCTTTATGCAATGAACATTTGGCCTCAAGCAAAAAAAACAGTCTGCTTGAGTCCTTGAAGAGAAGGATTAGCAGGTACAGAGATGTCCTGGAAGAAACCTGCAGAGATTCAGATACCTCTGAACATGGGGAGTTAGAGCAAGGCATTGGTTGCCCATCATACTACTTACCTGTTGGGTGACTCCATGCCTGCAACCAGCAGCAGTTTGTGTGTGTTACATCATACCCCAACTACTGCTGGGGATCTGATGGAACCCACAGGGACAGAGATGGCCTCTCATGTTTCTGACTACTCTGAAAGACTGAGATTTTAATTAAAGCCAGTGCTCATTGGGACCAGAAATACATAGAAGTATTCTCTTTGGCTCCTTCACAAGGATGAAGTAGTATATCTGAGAATATTTGGAAAAAAAATAGTACCAGTTCACTTTATAACATCATTATAAATGTGACAGTGAATGTTTATGCAGATATTATAATAGTCTCAAGAACAGGTTATGAATTTGCTGGCTGCAAGTTAATTACCATGAACAAATTCTGTGTGGCTAGTCATGTTGAACCACTTAATTTTTACTGGGAAAGTATCGAACAGTATTTTCCCTCACACTGGAAGGATTGATTAGGCAGTTCCTTTCCCCATCGGGTTGTTCTGAGTCAGTGTCAGCATGCCATGCATTCAGCCTTCCTTTAGCAATTTCTGTTTCAATGTAGAGCTGAAAGGCACAATACTTCAGCACTCAGACCAAGGACCTTGTTAAAGGCTGATATTATAATAACAGGATGAATGTTCACCTGCAATGACAGATGTGTTTGGTTCAGCATTTTTCAGCTAGCCAGCAGTGCTCTCTGACAGAGACTTTCTTTTCCCTGCTTCATTACCATAATGTCTTCCCTCCTTGTCATCTTAATACTCAAGAGAACGATGTAATTACTTGACAGTATTTTAAAACCTAGTCTAAGAGCCTATGAAGGAAAAACCTTGCTCAACTTGATGTCACGAAAGGGATGAAGTCAAACTACCATCACTTTATGTGAATGCTAAGGACTAGATAACATTTTTAAACATGTGTCCTGACTCAAATAGGAAAAACCCCAGAACATTGCTATGGAAGCTTTGGAATCTCTGTCTGCTCAGGGAAAAATTGGTCATTCTCTGTTAATCTGCACTCCAGTGTCAGTGTAAGCAGACTGGGGTCAGTCTCTGCTCTCAGAGCATGGATACCTGGTGGGAATAGCAGTTTTGTCAATCTTGGCTAAGGAGATGCCAAAATAAACATCATGCAAACAGTGGCAAACAAATAAAAAGAAAGACTAGCAATTGGCTTGTCCAAAGGCCCTCTTGCTGTAGGACTGAGGCACCTGAGTGGTACCAGCAAGTTTTTGCTTTGTCTAAATCTAGCTGCTCACCAATTATAAAAAGACCTGGCTGAGAACGTGAGTGTGGCTAATTTTTTCCCCTTATTAAACAATAAAGAGATGGAGTCTGTCATTAGACTTTCTTTACAGTATTCTAAGTAAATCTCGAGCTGTTGCCTCTCATTCCTGATGCACAGTGGGCAGATCATTGGCTTGGTGGATAGACCATACTGTGTACTGAGAACAGACAACGTGGGTACCTCAGGGATCGCTCGCTGAGCTGCAAGTAGCTACTTGTGTCATCAGGATTGTCCTCGTCGTTAGCTAGCTGGGACCAGCTGCCAGTGCTTTCTTCACTGCTGCTGAGATGGTTTGGAAATTCTTCGGCTGTTTTTGTCTCTCCTATGATTTCAGCATCCGATCTGCTCTGGGGACTGTTGCTGGCAGGGTGATAAAGAAAGCACATTGATATTGCAATACAGGCAAACAAACTGGTGCCACCAATCTTCAGGCAATGCTGCTCACTAAAGTCAGCCAAGCTGCAGAATTATACAGATGAGAAAGACTGGGCCAGCTGATAATTTATATATACAGAGCAGTGGAACATATGGCCTGAGATGCTCTTTAAAAAAAAAAAAAAAGGACTTTCTTTTCACTGCTATAAACAAACACAAACCAAAATAAACCCTTTTACTGAAATATGCACGGAAAAGGTTGAACTTGTACGAAAAAATTTTACATGTATAAAAAGAACTGATCACTGTAAATGTCTATTGCTTAATACACTTCAGTCAATCAGTGGTCGAAATACGTGGTATATGTTAGTGCAGAATGACAGCACTTCTTGGAACTATATATTGCCACTAAATCCCTGTCCTACTGATGGGTAAATAAATTTCTTGCCAGGGTTTTCTAATCTGTTAGCACTGTAGATCCAAATGAGGTCTAGAAGTAAAAGTAGGAAAGTACTGTGGGTTGTGAATCACTAATGACTCGGCCTCTGTCCTTAGGATCTTTGCTGCTTAGGCGAGGGAAGGAAAAAATACTACAGCAGGTAGTCAGAAAGCAGACTGAATGTGGAGCCCAGACTGAGTCTGGAAAGTACAGGGTTAAGGGAAAAAGGCTTTCTAATTCTGCACACTTGACATATGTTATACATATTTGTATACACGTGTATGTCATATATAGCCACACATGCTCCCATGAACACACACAGAAACAAAAAGCATAAACTACCTTTATGGTAACTTTCCAGAGCTGAACTGGCCTTTTGATACACAGGCAGAAAGTAAATAATAATCAATCCCCCCAATAATTATATCACTGCAGTGCCAGAATAACAATTGAAGCAAGACTGTAGTTTTGTGATACTCACTGGATGGTCTGGATTTGCAACTTAGTGATTAAAGCAATGTAATGTGTACTGGAGACCCTCTGCAGGATTTCTCTAGGGATGTTCTTGCCTTCAGACCTTTAGTTACAGCTGAGGGACCTGTCTTCAGTTAGAGATTGCACCAGAAATTCTACTGCTCCCAAGTAATTACCTCGATTAAAAATATACTGAGCCAGTCTCATTGTGGGTATCAACTTTAGCCAAGCTCTTGCTCTCTGAAGTTGTTGCATGGATGATGCAGCCTGTGCAGGGACAATGGGACTTGCTTGCCTGAGGGCATCTGCCCTACCAGGCAGTCAGCATCTGCCAACTAACTGTGCCTGCCATCCCTGACCCCTCAGGTGCAGAGCTCAGCACCTGCAGTGACACGAAGGCACTGAGCAACCAGGCCATAGGGTAGTGGTGTTATCCAGACTTTTAATACAGGCAGGTAGCTCCTGATACCTGATCCTAAACACGAGAGATTTTTGTAGGTGATGTTTCTTGGCACTTTGGGTGTTGTTTGATTCATTATGCAGTCACATCTCAGCCTAGTGATGCTCTGAAGTGACAGTTCCCCAACTGAGAACAGCCACTTGGAATGGGTTTCTGTGTAACTGTGTGACAGGACTGGGTCTGTTGCACTGCCTACATAAAAAGCCAGCTCTTTTTCCCTGCTGCAGACCTCTTCCCCAGCCCTGCATCGCTTCTTTTTTTTCCCTAATTGACTCTATATCTGCTTGATGTTTTGCCTGCAGTCCTATGTGCCTGTAACTGAACTAGCAAGTAATTTCATGCAGTGGAAGTAGATCAAAGCAATTGCTACTGATAGTTTTATAGCTACATTGGATATTGGTGAGGCATTGGAACAAGTTGCCCAGGGAGGCTGTGGCTGTTCCGACCCTGGGGGGGTTCAAGGCTAGGCTGGATGATCATTGAGCAACCTGATCTAGTGAGGAGATGTCCCTGCCCAGGGCAGGGGGTTGGGACTAGATGATCTGTATGGTCCATTCCAGCCCCTAAATTCTATAATTTTATGATTCTATTTTTTAGGTTTTCACTTCAGCCTAGACTTGGTCCAGGCATCCATGCCACAAATGGTTCAAATCCATGAGAAGAACCACTAGAAGCTTTGCCTTCCTAGTAGGGATATGAGCACATCTGGTATTCACTTGGGCAGCTTCTATTTGAGTTTCCTTTAAAAGAAATCTGCATTGCATGCTGCAGACTGAGCTGATGCATGGAGACAAGGTGATTCAGAACTGCACTGCAGTGCTGACCCAAAATGTTCACATCAATGTAGCCTCTAGTGACTAATTCTGCCCTACCAACCCTATTGCTTCAGACTTCCCACAGCCACTTTGGGAACTCTGCATCAAAGGCAGAGGAAAAGTTGCTATGAAAGGGCTCATAAACTGCAGAAATAACTTCATTTTAAAACAGTCAGTATTCCAAGTAGGTGGATTTCTAAATGTATCTTACTAAAAGCAGGTTCCATTTGAAGGAAGAGGAAGGTTAGTGGAGGAGAGTCAGTAGGAAAGATTAGCAACACTATGATAATTATCCACCTAATTGCTACCATACACTGGAAAGTACACACATCTATGTACTTTCTCACTTCAGAGCAAGCACTTCTGCTTTCTCACTTCAAGCAGAGTTTTGTCAAAAGGCCAAAACAGAGCACTGCCTAGAATAAAATGAGCTAGAAAATGGTTTCTAACACTAGCACCTGCACTCTTCCTAGCACTGCTGCAGAGCTCCACGAGAATGGCATTTTAGAGACCATTAACGTAATGGAGAGAATGAAGGAGTACAGTTAAAAAAGGCAATGCCTTGAAAGGGAGCATTGCCCTTAACCTCACAGCACCCACAGCAATCCTTTACCCTGCCCAGCACTCTCATACTTAACCAGAGCAAGGTGCAGATTCCTGAACCAAAGGAGCAGAGCTGTAAGGAGAGGGTGGTGAGCTGTCTCGTAAACTCCACAAAATGGTGTTAAAATAAAATGCAATGTTGTTTTTTTCTCTGTGTAAAGTCTACCAGAGAAGCCCAAAACTAAAGGAGGCGAAGGGTACTTTTAATGTTTTATTCCCTTCACTAATGAATTTTTATTACTTGTAGCTCCAGACTGTAAACACAAAGTTGAATTTCAAGCTCTCAAAAGTCTGGTCTGATTTCCAGGTAAACAAAGCATTAGTTACATGAACAAGCAAAGCAGAGAACGATGGGGCAAGATCTGCTGTCTTCTGTTACACACTAACACTGATTTTTACTTAGTTTTAAATTGAGATATCAGCCAGTGCTAAGTAAAATTTTAAGCTTTGTCCATCTTTTCTGTCTTGACTGTGAGAGACTTATATGTCTGTAGACAGAAAACTTACTTGTCTGTGCAGTCTTAGATTTGAATCTTAGAATCATAATGTTGTCATATTCAGTGTATGTTTGCTCCAGAAATCAGCTCTGTATTCCACAACTGGGTGATTTTATGCCATTAGAAATCTGTAGTCAGAAATTTTGTTTCTTTAAAAGTGCTACTCGTCTTCTTCCTTTATCAAAATGACATTTACTGGGAAAATAAACACCAAAGCAATGTGCTGATTTGGTGTTTGGTCACTTACCTATTTACTGGGGAACTGGAAACTGTGTGTTTCCCATCCAAAGCTTCTGGAGGCTTTTCTTTGCTCGGATGGTCCTTTCCAGAGGGGCCACATGAAGTTAAGGACTCTGAGTCTTTATCTGGCTCATCACGTTGATCAGTTTCTATCTGAATTAAAGGCACTTCCCTGTGCTGACCTGCAGGAAGGTTTCCAGGGATCTTCACCTGCTCTTTTTTCTCATCCAAATTTCCTTCTTCCATTTTGGGTTTTGACTGTATCTGAGTTGTGCTTTGGGGATGTTTGCTTTCCAACACTTGTTCCCGGTTTGTATAATCAAGGGAATCCTGCTGCACAACAATCAAACTTTTACCACTCTCAACAATATTTGCAGCCAGTCTTTTTGCATATTGTTCCACGTGTGGTGGGGAATCACTATAAAACTGCTCTGCCTCTGCAGCCTCTGCCTCATCTGCTATGATTTTGTTCTTGCGCATTAGAGATTCAATAGAACTTGCCCATGTCTCATGAATCAACATATCTGTGATCTGGTCAGCCTTGCATCTTTGGTACAGGCATGAGTCAGACTTGCAAAGACCTGAAGAGCCCACGGTACTGACTTGTTGCACACTTAAGGAATCTTGGCGATGGTGGGCAAATCCATCTAAGGAATTTGCCTTCACTGGGACGTTAACTGTAAGCCTAGAGCCTGATGATCTGCTGTCAGGCATTGATGATTGCCTAAAGCAGAAAGGTGACCGTAGAGAGGGTGGCAGCAAACTGTCACACCAGTCCTTGGAATTCCGAGGGGAAGAGGAGTTCTCTTTATTTTCCTTTTCGATTTCTCTTAGCATATACCTATAAAACTCTTCTGTTATGCTTTCCGTGCTGGACTGTTTGGATGGGCAATTTGGCCTCACGTTAAGATGGCCATTTTTCTTGGCTACCTGTTGCAAAGCAGAAGTTAAGATATTGTTTGCATTTTTTCCTGCATAGTAGTCCAGTAATAAATCAAAGCCTCTTCCTTCATTTTCCATCTGGTTCACCATAAATCTTGAAAATTCATCTGTAATGCTTTCACAACTAGACTGCTTTGAGACAGAACTTGTCTGGCTTAAAGACTGACCAAAGCTGCTCGTTAGGCCTAGGGTATTGAAAGAGGCTTTGGAATCTGAGTCCTCCTCTGGTATGCTCTCACAGCTTGAGGCCTTGGCTCGGCTCCATCTTTCACAGTGCAGTCTGTTCCTGGGGTGGTTTGGACCTTGCCAGATACTATCAACCATGGAGAGTTCAGTGAGGTTCATGATCTTGGCAGCCACTTCATTTGCAAAGATATTGACTGAATCTGGTGTGTCCTCAAGGTTTATGGATTCATCTACTACCCGATTCATCAATCTTTCCTTTAGCTCAGGATGCTCATCTGTTTTCCTTTTGATCTCACTGAGTCTAGGTGCCCTGTGCTTCCGAACCACTGAACCGTTACCATGGCTTTCCTTTTTCCTTTTCATGGTTCTGCATGATAAACTCTGGGTCACCAGATATTCATTGCCTCTCTTCCATGCACAGAACCAGGGTTGCTTTCCATTTGAATTTTCTAGACAAATGGCAGCTATTTCTGTTGCCATAGAGACAACTGTTTCTGCCAATTCTTCTGCAAAATCTGTTATACAATATTTGTCCCTTGAATTTTTCACCTGTAACACGGGCTGAGAAGGAAGCAAGACATGGTTTCCTAATAAAGACAAGGAAAGTTGAACATCATTATTTAGCACAGAATCACACTTATGCTTGGCTTGGGTTTCTGCATTCACGGTGGCACTGGAAGACAGCTGTTCTTGAACACCATGCCTGCACTCATTGTTTGCAAGGGTATTTTCTCTGTCTGAAAATGATCTGTAGTCCTTCTTCTGACTAAGATTATTACTCTCATTTGGAGATTTATAACAGTCTCGTGCAGTTCTTTTCAGGTATCTCTTCTTGGGAGATGTTTTTCCATCAAGTGTGTTACGCCCTGTATATCCACTAGGTTCTGAGTTCAGTGTGGCACCTTCATTGCTATTTACATCACTCCTACTACTTTTCCAAGTGTTTGTGGCATTTACAAGGTCTTTGCTGGTACTAGTGCTGTAGGACGTACCAAATGGCTTAGCAGCAGAGAGATCAAGGGGGTTGTGTGAAGTTTCACATGCTGTTGCTGGTGTTGCCCATCCTTCTGCTCTTGTTACTTTCTCTGCTTTTGTGCCCTCAGAAAAGAGAGGAGAACACTCTTCAACTTGCCTTATGTCATTCATCTTCTTGCATGTGAAATATATTAGTTTAAAAAGCAACTCATTTGCAGTCTCTGTGAAAATGTCTTGTGTACTTGAGCCATTTTCTGGACGGGGGTGTAGCTGTGTCTTCTTCCTAACCTCTTCCATAGAATGTCGTAGAATAATATTGGATAAGTTTTGTGCAAGTTCATCCCTGATTACTTCATCAGCATGTGGAATCTGTGGCCTTGCTGCTGTCTCCATAATTTTTCCGTTTATGGATTCCATAAAATGTCCTACATTCTGGTACGTGTTGGGTTTCGTCAAAATGATGGATGCCTCTTTGAGAAGTGCCTCTGCAATGCTCTCATTTAGCTTCTCCATGCTGCTTCCTATAGCTATGCTACAATGCAGAGTAATGGCTGCAGAGGCCTGAGCAGCAGACAGAAGTCCACTTGAAGCTGCAGGGTACTTCTCCTCCCTCGTTTCCCCCAGACCACAGATGGCTACAGCACTTGCTACTTGAGTCATGCCACACAGCGCAGATGGAAACGAATATTCTGTGCCAGCACAGTCATCAAGTAGCTGTGAAGATGCTGTGTGTGCCTTTTCATTAACAACCACTCCGTTTCTAGAGTCTGAGACGTCTTGGTCCCGTCTGAATTTCTCTGCAGCCTGAGGACTGGAAATGGTTCCAATGACAGTGGCTGCACAAGCCAGAGCCACTTCCAATGCACTCTGGTCATGTCCATTTGAATGTTCTTCCTCAAAGTAATCTGAAACTTCAGCAGAGCCCTGTGACTCAGCCCAGTGGCACAGGCTGGGGAAGGCAGACCCTGGCCAGTCAGGTATGTTGTCAGAACTGTCTGGACTTTGCACTATGACAATCTTTGGAAGTTCATTCCACGATCGGGCAGCAGATACATCTTCTGACTTACAGGAGCTTCCTACTGAGATGCTGACTGCAGCCTCCTCACTGAAACTGGGCCGAGACTGTGACAGTCTAATGAATGCATCCTGAAGAACAGATTCTGCTAAATTTGTGGCATACTGACCTGCAGTCACCTCATTTTGTGAGGGAGGGTCAGTTTTCCTGACCCCTGTGCAGTCCTCCCTGGCTGTCTTACTGTTGTCTTGCATTGTTGGTTCACACAGAGGTTCCAGCTCTTCTTTAGCCATTTTGGTTAAAGATACATCTTCTAACACAAGTGCTGAGCAGGATTTGTCAACCTCACTAGTCAAATTAGGAGTACTAAATGATGAAGTAGCTTCTTCAGCTAATTCCTTCTGCCACGGTATTTCCTGGTCTGGTTTATCTTCAGGTGGTAAGATGTCATCTTCAGCCACAATGTTCACAGCTTCAGAGACCGGAGTAGCTGCATTATCTTTACTAATGCAGCTCCCTTCAGGAATGAATGGCAACCTGGCTTTCCTGTAGTGAATGTTTTCCAATCTCTTTCCTTTATTTTTTTTGACATCTGAAGATGTTTCTGAAATGCTTAATTTTTCATGGCCTATTAAGAAGAATAAACATTAGCTTTTGCAGAGTACCCTGTGACTTTGAAAAGAAAACAGCTGCACAATTATGTACCACATTACTGCTCTGCCAATCTGCTGCACAGCCATGTATCTTTGTCTTTGAACAACAGTTAAAAGATATGAATGGCTGCCCATTTTCTACGTGACAAAAAAAACATATGAAGTGCAAGGTCCTACATCTGG